GACAGTGCCGGCTGGCGACCCCAAGGGGGAGGGCCTTCTCTGTGGGAGCTCCCACCCTCTGGAATGAACTACCCCCAGAGATCAGGGTGATCCCTGATCTCCCTTCCTTCCGCCGCGCCCTTAAGACATGGTTATTCCAGCTTGCAGGACTGGCCTAGGGAAATTTTTAGAGGGGGTTTTAATTATATTTTAATTAGATTATAGTTAAATATTTCCTTTTAATTAATTTTAATCCTGTAATTGTTATCTGTGTATTTTTAATCGATTGTTAGCCGCCCTGAGTCCGCAAGGAGAAGGGCGGGATATAAATTTAATTTAATAATAATAATAAATAATAATAATAATAACCTAGAACTAAAGAGAAATTTCCTAGTGAGAACAATTAACTAGTGGAATGGCTTGCCTTCAGAAATTGTGGGTGCTCCATCACTATAGGCTTTTGAGAAGAGTTTGGACAGCCACTTTCTAGAATGGTATAGGATAGGGTTCCCCAACCTGTGGGCCATGGCTCATGCTAGCGTCGCAGCCACAGGGCACGAAAACAGGATGCCACACCTCGGGGCGCAAAAACAGGCCGCCACTGCGGGGCGGGGCACAAAAACAGGCCACCGCTGCGCCTCGGGGGTATGAAAATGGGATGACAACACGCCATGGGGTGTGAAAACAGGCCGCCTCTGGGCGTGAAAATGGGCACCACTGCATCGCAGGGCGCAGAAACGGGGCGCTGTGCAAGAACAGGGCAGGGCTAGTGAGTATCATGCGGGCACTAGCTTCGCCCTGTGTGTGTTGCATGTAAAATGCTTCCCCCTCCCTTTCCCTCCGGTCCACCAACCAAGAAAGGTTGGTGACCTCTGGTTTGGGGTCTCCTGCTTGAACTGGGGGTTGGACTAGAAGACCTACAAGATCCCTTTATTATTCTGTAAAGATTCTGAATTCTGAGCTTTTTTTTTACTTCCCAATCTATCCTAAAACCTTCGGATTTTTTATCCAAGCTCCATCAGGTCCAACTTTGCTTTACTTTTCAAAACAAGCCGGGATCAGCTATGTGCTACTACTTAGCTAGTTAATAATTATTACAGTATAGATAACTACTATCTAGTTAATAATTTCTACAAAATGTCAGCTTGTTCTGTAATGCTTTGATTTACAGCAGTTTATGAAATGTTATTGGCGAAAGGGAAAATGTTCATACTTTGTAGGCTTATTTTGAAATAAGTTACACACAGCTGAAAGCATTATGAAGTTTCCTCAAGTTGAGCTTGACTCCTGGAGACCAGATGAAAACAGTACATCCATGTTATCCTCTTGGCAACATTAATGAAGATTTGCCATTCCCTTCTTCTGGGATCTTGTTTGACTTCTCAGTCTAGTCTTAGTTACTAACCAACTCCGCTTAGTTTTTTCAGGCTCATCTAAGGTGTCTGGCACATGATTTGTGTTTATTACACAAAGACTGAACAGAGGGAAAAGAAGGTTCTTGTCACATCACATATATCAGAAATGCAAGAATGTTTATGTCAGACTCCAGCAACAGTTTTGTGAATTTCAATTTAAATAAGTTATTAACTCTGTCTGCAGCTCTTGCATTTTATCTCCTTCTGACCTTGCTGTTTACTATTTCCTCCTATCATCTAACGTGTGTGTTTGTGTGTGTGTGTATGTATATGATTGACCCATACTCTTCATTCTGAAGTTATCATTTTCATTCAGGTTAATATTCTGTGTGTAAAATGGTGGTCTATAAAAACTTCGTGGCACAGATATCTTTATTGTTTTTAGTCCTGTTAAATATGTAGTCCTACAACATAGGTTTTAAGAAAATAAGAAACCAAACTTGTTGACTACATTTTTTTGAGTTGCTAAGAAAATAGATAGCCTGACATTGCTTTTTTTTCAAAACCATTAAAAGATTTGAAAACCATTGTTGCAAAAAATTAAAATTGTTGTTATCAGAAGATTTCGACCAATCAAGATGTTAGCTGTTGGTTAGTTCCATCTTTTCCCCAACAGATGGTATTAACATGAAGCAAAGCAAAACACTTGAGTCATTTAAGTAGGTCTGTTAACAGATGGCACCATGATGTGGTTATATTTTTCATATGTAGATTACATCAAGGTATTCTTGATGGAATAGATGGTTGGTCAAAAATGAACATAGTTCTTTGATCAAATTCATACATCTAAAGGCCTGCTATTGTCAGCTTTAAATTAAATTAGATATATTTGTTTGTTTGTATCCTGCCTTTATTATTTTTACAAATGACTCAAGGCAACAAACATACCCAACACACCTTCCTCCTTCTATAACAGCTTTGTGAGATGGATTGGGTTGAGAGAGAGGGACTGGCCCAAGGTCACCCAGCTGGCATTCATGGCTAAGGTGAATATCAATATCTGCTATTTGCAGTTAGCTGTTTGTTGAATATAAATTATATTCTGCAAACAAGTGTTAGCTTAGACCAGTGATGGCGAACCTTTTAGAGACTGAGTGCCCAAACTGCAATCCAAAACCCACTTATGCATCGTCGAGTGCCGGGTGGGCGTGGCCCATTGGCTGGGCGTGGCCCATTGGCTGGGCATGGCTGCGGTGGTAATGGCAGACTGGGTGGGACTAAAAAGTTCAATCAATCAATTCCAACTTTGCAAGATCTTTTTTTTCCCCACGAGAAGTTGAAATTGACTGATTGAACCTTTTTTTTTTTTTTTTTTGCACAAGGCAGTGGAGGCCTAAAGCGAAAAGGTTTTATAAAACCCAGCTGAAGGCCTAGGACTGGGGCGACGGCACGCGTGCCCACAGAGAGGGCTCTGAGTGCCGCCTCTGGCACCCGTGCCATAGGTTCGCCACCACTGGCTTAGACCATGTTTCCTTGTAAGATATCTACCCTTCGAGCATTCATTGATTTTATGCATTCCTTATAGGGAAAGGAGATGAGAATTTCTGGAGTGATCTGAATGTTCCAGGATGTATACCTTTGACACATGTATCCCATTCAATTTTTGCTGTTGCCTTTTCTTAAGAAGTTCTTGCTGTATAAAAACAATGGTAGTGCAATCTTACATATAATTTCAGGGAATCCTGAATTTCAGGGAATTGTTCTGTAACTACAAATGTAAGCATGAAAATTGCATAATCCTAGAAAAAAGTGTTTGGGGATGTTGAAAGAGTTGTTGTGCAAGGTAGCAAGGACATTGGAGAGAGTTTATACCTATTGAACTTGTAGAAGATGTGATACTGCCTTGTTTGGCATCACATACTCTTCATCTGTCTGTCTGTCTGCTTATAATTCTGATATTGCTGCTGCAGCAAAGAGCAGCTCATGCCTCTGTTTTAGGCTGTAGAGATTAGCGTCCCCCACTGATAATTAAGCAAGACTGTCTTGTGCATGGGACATTCACAGTTGATTTTTCTGTATTGGACTTAACAGGAGGTGGACTGCTGTTAGTAATTAAGTGCTTGTGGTTATAAAAATGCTTACCACCAGTGATATGTGGTTATGCACATGAACATCTGGCCACAGATGTTTTCCTAATGCATGGCAACACTTGTTGCCAGATGCTGATAATAGATGCTGTGGTCTTTGCTTGCATGAATGGTATGGTGGAAAATCACGATAGTAGCATGCTAACTCCTTTACAACTTCTGCCCAGTAAGGTTGCATGAATGTAGCCTTTCTATGAGCAGCTCCTATTTTGCTATATCTGAAAATGGCTGTCGATAATCTTCATTTTGTGTGTGTGTGTGTGTGGGGAAATGTGCTGTGGAAACCCCCGATCTGTGGACCAGTACCAGTCCACGGCATGCCAGCAACCGGTCCACACAAACAAGGAAAGCCCCATCCACAGGATGCAGGCAGCACACAAAACCACGCCCCCTCCGGTCCATGGGAAAACCTCTCTCCACGTAACCGGTCCCTGGTGCCCAAAAGGTTGGGGACCTCTACTTTAAGGAACATTCGGAAGGCTTTGGTTGTTAATACCAATACCAGAGCTACTAACTGATGTCAATAAACCTTCCCTTGAAGAAAAAGGCTTTTCCAGCTCTTTGGATTTAAAGGGTCCTTAGAATAGGTCATTGGTTTGCTATGCATACAGTTGCCAGAAGCTTCAAAAGCTGCAACTCCTTTGATTAAAACAGAACAAATAGCAGCTGCGATTAAAATGTAGCACCACTTGTTCCTGTCCGGTGTCATGCATTGTTTTCGTAAATGTTCAGCCATTCAGGTTCTCTCCCCCTCTTTCCCCCAAACTTCTTCCACTTCCTCTGCAAATGTGTCTAGAGAGCAAACCGGCACAATGCTTTCAGGACAGGTAGCTAACAGGGTAATTTATGTTTATGCTGTAAGTGGATAGAACAGCCAGTTTTACTGGTACAAAGGAGTTCAAACCCCTGGATCAACAGGCATGCTAACTTGTTTAATATGAATCTGGTAGTAGTAGCAGCTAGAGACAGATCACTGTTCTGGAATAGGCCCAAAACCTGTCACAACAGCAGGGCAGGAAGGTTTTTCTCTTCCATAAATTGCTTTGGCTTCTCTTTCCAAGCAAAGGGTTACTGCAACTGAACCATTTAGTAAATAGGTGGCTGCTCTATGTCTTTGCCATAAACGTGTGTGTGTGTGTGTGTGTGTGTGTGTGTGAGAGAGAGAGAGAGAGAGAGAGAGAGAGAGAGAGAGAGAGAGAGAGAGAGAGAAAGAAAAAGAAAGAAAGAAAGAAAGAAAGAAAGATAGTTCATATTTCACATTTTGGCTGATTCTTGCTCAGGAGTAAGGGAATCTCCTTTAATAGGCCGTTGTGTGCTTGCAAATAAAAACCTGGCAGCTTCTGGGTGACATGGAACGGCAGTAAGAATACAGAAAAGAAGAACTGAATTGTGGTGGTGGGGAATGTTGATTATTCATTTAGTATTTATACAATTTCCCCTTCCTATTTTGTAGTGTGGCATCTTTCTGGGAGCCCTGCTGCTTGTTTTCTGTTCCTGGATGACTCATCAATCCTGTATGTTCCTAGTGAAATCAGCCAATCTCAGCAAACGTAGGACCTATCCTGGATTAGGTGAGCATGCTCAACCTGAGGGTGGCTTCATCCCAGTCTTTCCTTCCCGTTTCCTAATTTACAACTTCATACTGGTACGGCTGAATTGTTCACCGTGTATAAAATGGGTCCCTTCCCCACGCCACCAAATATTTCTCTTCTCCTTTCTGTAGCAAACATTCTTAGTGGACAGATTTAATTCTTCAAAAAATGATGTAGGATGCTTCAACTCAACGGACTAAGAAGAAGGGAATGGTCCAAACAGAGGTTCTTCATGTCTGCTATACATTGTTGGTCTCTGCTCAAACCCACTCACTTCCCCTGCCCAGCATACTATTGAGGATGTTGGGTTCTGCCAACAGAGACCCTAGTATGGTCTTCTTGGAGAGAGTGCTTATGGCAGCTTAAGGGGGAGGTTAAGGGAAACAGTGTTCCAAGTTTCAAGCAGCCAAGAACACTGAAACATCTGCAAGATTCATGTGTGGCTTTTTGGCAAGGACCAGCAGTCCTCTTCCTCTTAGTTCGCTGTTAGGTCTTGGCACCAGGATCACCATCTATTTTTGACCTCTCCTCTGATTCCCAAAGATTGAGGGGTGGGCGAGTGGGTGGAACAGCGGAGCAGAGCAGATACGTGGCCAGGCCTGAGGAGTCAAACATTTCTGCTTGGTATGCATTCTCTTGCTGGAAAATAAGTCATGAGCCGCGGTGGGATATTCTCTCTCAAACCTTTCTTTCAAGCGGCTGCTCCAGAAAGGCAAATGCCTTTACCCATTTAAAGTTTGCTCATTGCAGAGGTGGAGTTTGTCTCGGGTGGGTGGGTGGCAGAGGTGAAAGATTCTCATGACAGGATATGCTGTTTTCTGCACACACACACACACACACACACACACACACAGCTGTAACCCCATCATGTGTTTCCTGAGGTGCCTCTTGGGGAGTCAGAGTGGGGAATTGGCTGGTTTCTCTGCTGAAAGGAGGATTTAAAGCAGTGTGCAGTCTCCTTAGTGACTGCTGAAAGACGGCTACCCCCGGTTCCTCTGTTGCCCGAGGCTACCTCATTTAGCTGCACAGTGTAAGCATTGCAAAATAATGTCCATTGGCAGTAAGAAAAAAAAAACCCAACAAGACCTGTGGTCTTGAAGGTTAAACCTTAATGGCAAAATATATGCTTAATTATAACTCTTTTCTCTTGAGGGAGAGGAAGAGGAGGATCAAATGTAGCTCTTCCTCCTTAACACCAGATGCCCATAATCATTGATTTCCCCTTCTGTGTCACAATAAGTCTTTATACGCTTCCCCCTTTTGACTGAATACATTAAGTCCTGTTTACCTTGGGTTGCCTGCCAGGAATAAGAGGTTCCCTTCAACTTTCTAAAACTAAGCAGCTTAGAAACACAGAAGGGTCAGTAAATGCTTCCAAACTTTCTGGCACATAAACATTGGTGCGGAAAGAAATAGCTTCCCCTTTTTTTTTTTTTGCCTGCCTTTGCCCTGGGAGAGATGCCATCAGCCAAAGTGGGGAGAATGCCTGGGAAAAAGGCATCCCTTAGCCCAAGGGAAGGCTTTACTGCTAGAGTCATCCTGATGCATCAAGGTTGAGCAACTACACACAGCAGCCTTTGTCATTGCCTTTCTTCTACACCGGTCCAGCTGCAAGCGATCCTGGCAGAACCTAAGCTGATTCTGTGGGAGGCTTTGGCAGCTTTGAAGGATGCATGAATGGTTTACAAATTAACTTAATTTAAGCTACGTCTTCCGGAAGAACATTCAAAGCTTTGGCTACAAGAGCCAAAGCAGCCAAGAAACAATAGGAATAAACAAAAACACCTCTAAACATTATTTGGAAGGGGGTTGAAGGGTGAAGGAACATTTGTTATGAGTCCAACAAATCAGCAGTGTTTGTCTGTTAGAAACTAAGAACTATGTGTTTTACATTTATTTTTAAACCATTGTGGAGCTATGAAAGGATAATTTAAAATAACTTATCCTTTAATGTTGCCTGTGTATGTTCTAGGTTTAGACGTGGAAGTTATAACAACAGTGTCCAACCTCAATTTATCTTTGTGAATTCAGGTTCTCCTGTATATGTGAAAACCAGAATGTCCTTTCTCTAAAATTATGCTGGTCTGTAACTGTAACAAAGATTTGATTGATACTCTAGAACATTTCTTGCAGACATAGAAATAACCCTGTACACCATCACGATTCTGAAGATAGAGAACATCATTTGCTTAACAATTCCCCACATACTGCCAAGTTGAAAGACAAGTCCATTTCAAGAAATGGGGCTGGCTGCGCTGCAGTTGCTCCTCTTAATGGTACAGCAAAGGTGGAATCTAGCTTTCCTTGGATGAAGTTAAAAGGGTGAAGTCATTTTCTTTAGAACCAGATTTGGAGCTTGCGTTCTCATTTTGGCTATTTGGCTTGAATTTGAAGAGATCTGAGATTGGTTAGCACCTCAGTAGAAAAAGATGGGGAGGGGCTGCTTTGGGTACACTGCCTTAAAGGTGTATGAAATAAAACAGGCAAGGTATAAATGTGTATAATACCTAACACATACATAGTGGTACAGGTAGTCCTCGGCTTACAACCATTCATTTAGTGACTGTTTGAAGTCATAAAGGCATTGGGAAAAGTGACATGACTATTTTTCACACAACTATTGTAGCATCCCCTCTGGTCACATGGTCAGAATTTGGATGCTTGGCAACTGGCATGTCTTTATGACAGTTGCAGTGTCCTGGGGTCATGAGATCACCTTTTGCCACCTTCTGACAAGCCAAGTCAATGGGGAAGCCAGATTCACTTAACAACCATGTTACTACCTTAACAACTGCAATGATTCACTTAACAACTGTGGCAAGGAAGTTCATAGAATGGGGCAAAGCTCACTTAACATCTTTCTTGCTTAGGCAATTTTGGGCTCATTTGTAAAGACTATAATGAATATATTTTACTTTGATTGAAAATATTTTAATTATACGTTATAAGTAGGTGTTGGGAGATTTGGAAGGTATTTTACTTTTATTTATATATTTAACTTGGTATAAGCTAACTAGCAGTTTTAGCAGTTAAAAAAATAAAACTCTTATTTACCTGGAATCAATATTAACCATGATTATAGAATTCTGTATGACTGAAATTGTTAAAAAGCAATAAAGAGATATGAGGGCATGAAGTTACATTTGGGATAGATATTCATATTTAATATATGAGACTAAAGCTTAATATTTTCCTCCCCATTATATCTGACCACCTTAAACTTTGGGTGTGAACTTAGTTGAAAGCCATCTTCACCCAGTTATGAAGCTTCTTTGGATACTTTGGGCCAGTCCCTCTTTTTCAGCCTAATGTACCATACAAGATAGTTGCTGTGGAGATATAATGAGGGGAACCCTCATATGTCCTACTTTGAACTTTCCAAGGAAAGATCTGATAAATGAAAAAAAAAAAAAAAGTATCCACAGTTATCAACTAGAGGGCAACCTCTTCCATCTTGACACCTTTTAAGAGGATTGGACTATAGTATTAACCAACCACCAGTAGCCAGAATGCTATTATGGTTATAGTGGCTAGGAATAGTCTGGTAGTCCAATGCATCTAAAGGTATCATCCCTAGTGTGGCATCTTGATTGTAATGATCACTTGCTACCGTAGGTACTAGCCAGTAGGAATAACTTGACCTCCTAGGACCTAGAACAAGGGGTGGGGAACTATGGCCCTTTTATGACTTGTAGACTTCAACTCCCAGAATTCTGAGCTGGCTCAGGAATTCTGGGAGTTGAAGTCCACAAGTCATAAAAGGGCTATAGTTCCTCACCTCTGTCCTAGAACATTACTCTCCTTAGTTATTTCCAGTTTCTGTCAGAACCCTTCTGTTTATTCTATCCACCACTTTTCCAGTTAAGAATTTCCCCCCCTAACTTTACTCCAAAAACTCCAAATTCTCTTCTGAAAGATTGCTATTTCTCATGCTATTGCCTAGTAGTCAGTTGGTTTTCTTCTGACACTGACGAGATGTCCAACGAAAATCTGAAATGATGATGATCTTGAGCATGCACAGATGAATGAATTTGGTTTATTAACTTGTATTTACAGCTGGGTTTATTCCTAAGGACTTGGTCAAGTAGGTTCTTCCTTTTCTTATGACAAAAGCAGGCATTTATTCCTAAACATCAGTGGGAGGTTATATGGTCTGGCTTACATGTTTAAATAACTGCTCACAAGCAGTTTTTTTTTTCATGTGAACAATAGAATGCCAGAGAACATTTGTATAGACAATCCCAGTGGCTACTTGCACGAAGAATAAAACCCAGATTTCTCATTTCCAGCACACCCATTTAACTCAAGTAGCTACTGTGATCTTCTGGAAAGACCTCCCATGAAGTTATACTGAGCATGCAAATTGACCACCCATGCAAGTAACAATTTCCATAATCAGATAATGTATGAACTACCTCTTGAGTGTGTGACTTACTCAAAACTGTTAGTATTACTCTCCAAATTTCCTAAACGCCTTTCTAAAGCTTCTCTACATTGAATATTAAACAAATGACTCCCTCTGTCAGATTTTTTTTTTGTTTGTCTTTTTTGGAAAGAGGCAGGGAGGCAGAATTTGGGCAAATTTCTTTCCCTGCCAGCATTTGGTTATTTTGGCTCTTTTTACTTTCTTCCACGAAAGCATGTGAAGATAAGATTCTCGAATCAACAAAGTTGCTAATCCCTTCTAGATTGTATGTTTAGACTTTTATAAGGCCAGAGAAAGCAGGAATCTAAAACGTTTGTAATATGAGCCCCCACCCCAATAATTTGTGGAAACAAATCATTAAAATTTATCTTAAGGCTTCACTTACAAGTTTGCTCTTGGGACTAATTTTTCTCTGGCTATTCCATATTGGAGCCAGGGAAGTAAGTCTGCTCTGTACTTAAAATGTATACATTCACAAACATTTTTAAAGCAAAGAAGAACATAGGAAACCGATATTCACAAATACTTTCCTTGGAAAGCTAATCATTGAGACTTAAATTGGAATTGAAACACGACAGCATATGAAAAGTAAAGCATAACTGAGCATCCAGGTTTGTGATGGCCAGCCAACTTGCCACTCTCAGCTAAACTGGGCTTGCATCAAAATTCTCTTTTGAAATAAATTCGAATGACTTTTCTGTCCACCCTCCCCTTCCCTACAGATTTACGGAGGATGAACCATCAAGGACATTTTCCTCAGTGGGCCTGCCTTTGTTGTATTCTGTTTTCTTACTTGTTTTAATTGAAAACCAGTGATTCTTTTTCAATTGAGAAATTGATTTCTAAGGAGACTTTATCCTTGGCCTTTTATGTTGTGTGGGGAGATGCTTTCTCTTGCCTTTATCCTCCTTCTGTTACATTCCTGAACTGGGGGTAACTATTTTTTTTTTTAAACAACAACAAAAAACAACAACACCGATTTCCCCAAGAGAATAAGTACATTCTGCAAAGTGAGGTTGAAAGCCAGCTGCCCTCTGTAAACATTTCACATGAATGTGGCATTAGTAATGGTTCCAGTTAAAAAGGTTCTCTCTCGGAATTGGAGGTGGTAATTTTCCTCTTACCCTCATAGTCAAATGGCTTTTGAAAATGCAAGCTGAGCTTTCCAGAGCAGTAGTGATTTCAAGGATGTTGATTGTTTTGTGTGGCAACCAACGACCAGTGTATGAAATGGGGAAAAAAAAAATTCTATCAGTTAAATCCCTTTGGTGTGGTGGTGAATCCTGGATACGGTCAGGGCGGTTGAGCATTCTGGGCACCCATCTCGGTCCTCCCCTCAGCAGCACAAACTGGTTCAACTGCAAAGGGGGCAGGAAAGAATAAAATCAGGAACCCCAGTGAAATTTTGCACTGCAGTAACTTCGAGCCACACAATCTCTTAAGGCTTGCATATTTTCAGTGCTGCCTTTCTTCTTTTAATGGTTACCATGTGTAACTCCTACTTAGTGCTGTTGGGTTGGGGAGGAAGGGGGGGTGAAGGAGGGAAGAAGAACCTGTTTTGAATCTTTCTTCCAAATTTGTTTTTATGTGGCTTCTGATTTGTGAATGGTATGTCAAGGGAGGGGGGGGAAGGCCCAAAGTGGTGGTGGGATGGAACCAAACTAGCAAACCCTGCCTTCTGAGTTGCTTCTGGTGAGTGATATTCGTTTTATACAGGGCCACGTTTTGAACACATGTTTGAATAACAAATTGTGATAATGTGTTTTCCCCTCCTCACTTTTTCTTTCCTTCTAGCCTTCCACGCCTATGGAAAATCTGGTAAAATGCTTGTGGAAACCAGGTACTTATTTTTTTACTCCTTTTGCTGCTCAAGATTCAAGTATTTCAAATTTTTGTTAACTGTTTAATATGCAAGTCATTTTTATCCCTGATGTTCTGGTATCTTGTCTATAGTTTCATTTTCTTTTTCTACTTAATATCTCCTTTTGTGAACTTGGCATATTTATCCAAGTAAGTATGGGTAAGTATGGCAGGGAAAGCAGATAATGTATATCCCCAAGTCTACTTTTTAAAAGCTCTTCCTAATTTCTCTAGCCCTCAGCACTGAATTGCCAGGAATGCTGGGAGAGAAACATACTTAAAGGTTCAGAGAAAACATTGTAGGACAGTACTTCTGATTGGCGGAAGGTATTTACTCATGAGAATGAATTGTCTGCATTATAGATATGTAGGCCTTCCATCTTCTATGTATCCAGTTAGCCATTTCAACCATGACAATATAGTACATGTACAACTGTTCCCTTGTAATCTTATGGCAGTTCCCTACATTTGTTAAAGATGTTCTTAATCTTTTATTTCCACTTTTTTCTCACAAATTTGGTTAAGGTGGTTGGCATAAAGAGCTGTATTTTCAGCTTCAGTATTTTCATGCTGAAGACGGTATTCCACTTGAAAAGCTCAGGATGCATAAACATCTTTGCTGCCCATCCAAGTCTATAAATCATGTTGTGAACTGGTTTTTCACATGGGGAAAACAGTTGAGTGGTCCCACTTCAGTCGAAGGAGAGAGCTGTGAATAATTCAGTAGTGTCTTTTTATCTTGTTTGTGGTTATTTCCATCTCTGTAGAACACGAATAACACTGGTCCACGTTAATGGGTTTGTTGACAATAATATGGCATGATGCTCCTGCCATCATTTGAAGACCCGTACTTCTTCTAATAACTTTTCATTTGTAAAGGGAAATGTCCCTCACAGATTCTCAGCATTGTTCACAACAAGCTTGAATTTTAAAAGAGGAACTTCGACTTTTTCCATATATTATGCTTCTCAAAATAAGAAGAGGCATTGACTTGGATGATAGTTTGATACGAATGGGCTGCTTTTTATGACTGAGATTGTCAGTCTGTCATATGTCAGGAGTTTGTCTGGTCATGTGATCCTGGCCTGCTTCTTTACGGTATCACCCAGCTTTGAACTGTTTTGAGAGATGCCTAAAAATATTCTCAGGACTTCATTGCATTTACTCTCTCATGTTAGCAATTGCTATAATTGCCATTGGGGTCCTATGCAGTCAGAAAAGAGAGGGGAAGCGGCCCATGCTTTTGTGACAGGGAAAGTGCAGGAGCTCAAGGAATGATGTCCTAATTAAACTGCTGTCTGACTTGCTGCCTAATCCACTCTTCACTGAGCAAGGATTGGCTTCTGTTTGGACTTTGATTGTATACTTGATGGAATTCCCTAGACTATTCTAAATATGTTTCTCACCCACATACATGCATATGCACATGAACATCCCCATTTGTACATACAGGTGTCCTTTATTGAAAGTAAATAAATGAGTAATATATTTCTCCCAAAATAAAACTTACATCTTATATCTGGAAAAGCATACATTGCTGATATGCAGCAATCTCCTTGCTTGACTGGATGCTTATTGTCTCTTCTATTAAAGTCTCATTCAGCTAATGCCTCACATTTCCTTTTTGACCTGAAACTATTTTATAAAACAGTTTCGTTGCATTAAAACAGTTGTATGTATCTTGATATCTGCAAGAGGAAGGAAGGAAGGAAGGAAGGAAGGAAGGAAGGAAGGAAGGAAGGAAGGAAGGAAGGAAGGAAGGAAGGAAGGAAGGAAGGAAGGAAGGAAGGATTCTAAGGCCCCCCCAATTTGCTTATTACTCTGGAAGTGTACAATATAGCACAAAGAAGCACAAACAGAAATAGAAAGATGGAACAAACATACACTAAAAATAATACTACTTTGGTGGATAGAGAAACACTATTGTTTTTTAAAAATGTTTATCAGTACTTTTTCTCTTTTATATGGATGCAGCAATCTATCCCCATATCTGCAGAGAAGCAAAATAGTTTTAGGCTACCTCATTAAAATGTGCCACATGAGAATGAAATTGAGAAGTGCTTCATTCCAGGCCTACAAAGGAGAGGAAGAAGACATGGCAGTAGATGTTATGCTGGGCTACCTAGCCTGTGCAGGAGATTCTTTGGAATGCTTAGGTAGCCTGTGAGGATTCTGGAAGGTAATAGTTAATATTAGAATCATTAATATATGCAGGCCCCTTTAGTCAGTATTGGCTGCTAGCAATATTCTTGAGGCATGCCAAGCCATGGCATCAATATGTTACTATTAACATCCAGCAGCCATTAGTAAATATAGTTTTCCTGGAGTCCTGTCATGTCTCAGTGGTTAGTTCCTTCCCTTGAGATACATTTTCTTTAGATCTGGTGATACCAAAAGCTAGTGCAATTGAGATGAGTGTATGGTTTCCAACTTATTTCTCTCCACTGTGTTTGTAGGAGCCCACATTAGGTGCATGAAGAACAGGATCTTGGTATTGGGGGGGGGAGATACCCTTCAGTATACATAATTAATGTTTCTTCTGAAACTGCCCTGTTTGCAAGATGGTGAGAAGACTGTTGTCATCTAGGGCATTGGCAGTGGAAGATGGCTATATTTAGAGAATTTATGAACACAGATCCCACATGAATTCAGCATTTAGCACATAGGTAAATAACAGTTTTATTTCACATTTTTCTAGAATGACCAATCCATTTTGTTTTTACAGTATGATTGGATTGATGCTGGGGACCTGCATAGCTTTCTATGTTGTTATTGGAGACTTAGGATCAAATTTCTTTGCTCGATCACTTGGACTCCAGGTAAACTTGCTTTTTTTTAATGACCTTATCAATAGCAAATTAGATCAGTGCCTCTTTCATATCTATACATAGGATAACATAGGACATATGAAATCCTGATTTCACGGCTACTACTGAATAATGAAATATCTGGAAGAAAATCAATCTCAGAGAGTACCAGGGACTCCACAGTCCAACCTTGAGCTACAAATATTCTCTATTATTGATAACATAAGTCATATTTGAAAGCTTGTCTGAATGGTGTTCAGGTAGTATACACAAGCTGCCTGCCATTTTCAAAATTAATAGCCAGTACACAAACTGCAGAGCAGCCTACCCCCTCCAAAAAAAACCTGATTTAAGGCTAATTAAGTGCATTTAGTGATAAAGGTTCATTCCTAAGAGTATTCTCTCTCCCTCCCTCCCTCCCTCCCTCCCTCCCTCCCTCTCTCTCTCTCTCTCTCTATCTCTCTCTCTCTCTCTCTCTCTTTCTCTCATAGACACACAAACACACATCTTCCTTCCTTCCTTCCTTCCTTCCTTTCTTCCTTCCTTCCTTCCTTCCTTCCCAAATGTTTGTATTTCCTATTCATCTAGGTGGGGTGAAGGTAGACCAGGATCATGTGTGTAAATCATACTGACTTACAGTATGTTAGCAATGACTTCAAATGTTTAACAATGGCAGTATTAATGTGACTAACCTTTGCACATTAAATTATGCTGGAGAATTAAGAAATCCCAGAAGTTTAGGATGCTTCTTCTGTTTTGTTTTATTTTTTAGCAGAAATGGGATTATTCAGACATGGTATTTAAAACTGATTTCAAATTTCAGTATTATGGTTGTTTAATAAAAACAAAGTAGTTTTTGCAAAAGAGAAAATTGCTTAACTCTATTGTATATTTCTCATAATTTATCAGCAAGATTGTCTCTGCTTTTAGTTTACGTAGCCGTTTCATTTATGACTGATCTCACCTACCAATCCTTCCCAATTATGGGAAGGATAATTCACACCTCTTCTAAGATTTATCATGCTTTTAACTTGAGGACAAGGCAGAACTGGACCTATTACTGGATGCTGAAGCAGTCAACAGGGAACTTCCAGTTCGAGATGCTGAAGTTTGTAGCATCAAATATTCTGGGGACGGAATTGGGTAAATGAACAGGGTTTTGTAGATGTATACCTTCGGATCTATCAGCTCATTTGTTAATCTCAAACTGTCAAGTAGGAATATACAACACGATGGTGAATAACCTGGCAAACCAGGTCAAGAAAGTGCAGCGTTGATAGCATATCTGCTGCTGGCCTTTTCCATGCAGGAGCAGTTTAATTCCCAGTGGATAAATAGGAACCAAAGAAGTCCCTGTAGGAGGAGAGACAAGCCAGGAAAGCTACAATGGACATTCAGTAGCATTCAGGCATGGTTTTTATCTGCTCCGGCCTGATGTAGTTAAGCTCTGATTAAGGACCTAAGCAGCTAAAAAAAAAAATGCATCATAAGCAAAGCCAAATTAGGTATTAAATATTTTGAGGCATTTCCAAGTTTCCTGCTATAATAAATATAAAAAGCTGCTGGTTAATTTTCTGGGTCAGAATTTCCAAGACTCCCATCGTTTCCCTTTTTACAGCAAAGTTAGTTTTCATTTTATTTGCTGGAAGTGCATAAAAGATATTCAAATAACGTGTTTGGATTACCATTTAAAACAGGCAGCGAGCCTTTGCTGTAAAATGATTTTGATAAGTACTTCATAGAGCAACAGTGGCACCCAGTGTCTGTGTGGTCTCATCACACACGCTCTGTGAGAAGCAGCTTTCTTGACGTTCCAGGTCCCCCCCCCCTTCTATTTGTTTTCAGAGTGAGTCTTAACCTTGGTCTACAGCAGAGTGGACGGGCATAGAATGTTAATTTTGAATACACTTTCTTCCTGGGAGTGCTGCCTGTGTAATTCTGCCTTTCTTGATGTGTGGTAGTCAAAGTGCAACACATGTGAATGACATCTGATTGAAGAAGGCTGATGTAACTGTTCCTCATGTTCATCTTTCAGGTGAGCGGCGTATTCCGGATCCTCCTGCTTTTTTTCATCTCCCTCTGCATTGTGCTCCCGCTGAGTCTCCAGAGAAACATGATGGCTTCCATACAGTCCTTCAGTGCAATGGCTCTCATTTTCTATACGGTGTTTATGTTTGTGGTCAGTATTAATGATGGGAAGCTTTTGTTTTCTTCAGTCTGGTGGTTAATTCCTTTGTGGGAAACCACGATGCATAGTTAAATTCCAGGGTGCCCAAACTTTTCATGTGGGTGGGCTCTCCGAGGACCTTTACAAGGAGGCCTGGTCTGTTTGTTGGCAACAACTCATACTTTTTAGGGTTTAGTTTGAAAAGCTTTCTCAATTATTGGCACTACCTAGTAAGGGAAGACCACTACCAATAACAGGGATGCTATTTGCTCTTATGTGCAAACCACAGGCCCAGGAATGTGTCTCCCATATGTTACTCAAAGTTATATATTCTTCTAGGGAGATCCTGCCATGTCCTCATTTTCCAGCAAGTCAGCATTTTTATAGTAGTGTATACAATAGGATCTTAGGCCACACAGATTGTCAGAGGAACCCCTTAATGCTTCCTTCACTTTTTGTTTCACAGTGTTTAATCAAATGCTTCCTTCAAAGCTTTCTCATTGACGATTTGCCAGAGAGGCTGCTAACAAAATTCCCCTGCAGTAAGGCTCCTTACTCAGTTTCTTTCAACTTCTCACCTCTGATGTTGTTCCTCGGTATTCCTTGCTTTATCTTTGTCTCTCTGGCCATTTTCATCTTTGTTTGGGAATACCATTTATTTATTTAGGAACATTTGAAATGGCCTCAGGCTTAAAGACTTGAAAAGACTTTAAAAGGCTTAAAAGACTCTTCAGCGGTGCGCAAAAAGTGACAGCTGAGCCTCAGCGCTAGAATAAACACATACAGTAGGTTATAATCATATATTTGCATTTGATTATATGAAATAATTATACATATAGACATATGGCGCCAATTGTTTCCATCAGCTAGAACTCGGGGGGCTTCTTTAGAAAGGTCCTGAAGGCTCTAAGAGTGGCTCACTGTTCATAGGAGGGGAAATTGCCCAGGGAATGCCAGTCTTGGGTCTCCCTCCTCCATACTTGCGGATAGGTGGGCATCTTTGGCCAGCATTCCCTGAGTCACATAATAGCCACCTTCACGGTTCCCTGTTGTAAATACTTGTGCAGTTGGTACATCAGCCAAGCTGGTAAGGGGTATAGTGCCGTGTTTTCTTAAGCTACAGTTTAGAATCAGAAGACATAGGCATCCTTAACAAGCTACAGTGATATCAAAATAATAATTCAGGTATCATAATATTGGCAGCCAACTGATAACAATTATATACTAGACTAGAGGCTGACATCTTATGCAGGTATGTTAGTCGCATTATTTGTGCCATGACACACATATTGTCATTTCCATTTCCATCACCCTCACCATCACCCAACCTGTAATGATCTCGGATTACCTTGATAAAAGGCCAAATAAAAAAGGGTGCCTTGTAACAAAGCTTATAACAAAATGGACTTTCTTTTTGTTATGTACCAGCTATGTGTTTTCTGGATTGCTCAGTTGGATATTAAAATATAATTCCCCCCCCCAAAAAAAACAAAGAATATTGGTTCCTCCCAGTAGGCAGCTTATTCTAAGATGGGGATGGGAGGCCAGGGAAGAAGGAAAGATATGGCATGGAGGGAAGGAGAGACCAGCATAGAAAAACAATTTTCTCCCATGCAACAGTTGCATTCGGAACTAGCAGTTCAAATTAGGGGATATACTATAACCGCCTTGCCAGAAGTAGCAGATTTAAAAGAGAGAAGGAGGTGGCAGGTGTCTAGAGAAAGAGCAATGTGCAGTACAGTTCCTTCCTTGCCAAACTGGTGCTGGGGGCTTAGAACACATAGTGTATTTGGGAGGCTGTTGGCTGTTAAAGTTGGGAGAGCTCATTATTACCAAAAGCTAGAAATACAGAAAACCCCCTGAAAAAGAGTGGTTGGTTAGGAGATGGAAATGTATAAAGTTGTTGAAAGGACTTAATACTAGAAATGGAAGGGATTGAATGCCAGTGAAGGGATTTGCATATTTTATCAAGCATCCAGTTGAGAACATTCAGTTGGAGGATAAGCAATTCTTGCACCGCCCTTTCCTTCAGGACCCAGAAACCCCAGATTTCCCATACATTTGGTGCGCTGTGATGCAGACCTAGGAAATGTGGCGTGGTGAAATACAGTATCTGCTTGTGAGCTTCTACTGTCCCTTTGCTGCTTCCCGGTTGCCGATAAAGCTGATGCAACCTGGGTTGTCAGTCACTGGGTTGGCATGGTGTCTCTGGTTGTCTAGATTGTAACCTCTCTTTTCTTTTCCTTGGCTACAGATCGTGCTCTCTGCTTTCAAACATGGCCTCTTTGTCGGGCAATGGCTGCAGCGGGTCAGTTATGCACGCTGGGAGGGCATTTTTCGCTGCATTCCTATCTTTGGCATGTCGTTTGCCTGTCAGTCGTAAGTACCAGCAGTCCTAGCTGCTTGGAGATTGTGGGGTGGAATGAGTTTTTTTAAGGGCAAAGGGTCAGGATGGCCTGTATGGGATAGATACCATCTGGTCCCCTTGTCTTGATTTTAATCAAAATATTTTACAGCCCACTGAGGTATAGCATCTGACTGGGTTGTGACCCTTTTGTTACCTAGCTGGGAGAGGGAGTTATATTTCACTCTGGACTCATTGTACTTAAAAAGCTTCTTGTTCATAGGAGGCAAATACATCTCCGGTGTAATTTTCCATTGGCTTTAATGTCTGGTACTTGGGACAGTATTGACCCCTGTTCTTGAGATGTAAGAACTTTAAGCTGAGATAATTATTACCATAGCAGGCTTCCAATGTTTGCTTAAAATGAGTTTTGTGAACAACTTTGTAACATAATGTTTTCACAGAGAATATTTAAGGAAAAGGTTCTTAAGTCAGCTTGATCTTTTGGATTATAAAGTCCCATTTACCCTTATAGAAGTAGGATGGGGTTGACTCCAGGAATTGTTTTGGTATGTTGCACAATGCAAAGCCTATTCCGGAATTTGGTTCAAATCTTTCAGTTCTCATTTAACACATTTACACATCCCTTACACAAACACACAATTTTTAAAACTTCCCAGTATCGGACTCGAAATGTAAGTTCCTGGCATCTTCCTATACAGAAACCCCAACATTAGAAATGATGTTTTTGTACCTTATGGTTTCCTTTGTTCTGTTCTTCACCGTTCCCTCTTTCCATTTTCTGATTCTGCCATTCTTTTTCCCCCCAATCCTTCAGTCTGTCAGTAAAAAAAAAAAAAATGGAAATCCATGCTGCATGCTGGCATAGTTTATTTTGGATGAAGAACTTAAAAGATTTTTTTTTTTTGGGTATAACACATGCCTGCCCTTAGTTGTCATATTTATTCTTGTGGCAGATGTAAGCTTTCATCCACAGATAATTCCCATTTCCATTTCCATTCTAGTAGCAATACTTCTACCACCCTTTCATTTGTGGCTGGACTGAAAAGTGGCCCAGTGAAACCGTAGAAGTGTGTGTGCTCAGTTGAGGACCTAAAATGGACCGTTAGCACTAGCTTTGATACAGCTGGACTCTCCTTCTCCCTCCTCTGCCCACTCCCCCAATTATGCTTCTCAGATTTAATGTGCTTCCCTCCGTTTTAAGTGTCTCTGCTATAATTGGTGACAGAAGGGTTGATTCATTCTTTTATAGCTACCTAGTTACCACAGTGGGGGTTTATAAAATCCAAATTTGTCCTTTTTCTTGTGGTGGACATTCAGCAACCAACCTTCATTTGGTGGGAGTTGGAAACAGCAAAATTATATGTTCCGGACTAGTATATTCACATATCTCTCTAAATATAGATTACTACACCGCTGGTGTGGCCAGCCAAACTGAAAGTTAAATCCTATCAATTTTCCCAAGGGCAAGAATAACACAACGTTTCTTGGCCTGTGTGACGTCGCGCATGGATGGATGCCGGGGTTGCCAGGCTTGTAATAACTGACCTTTCAGTCGATTCACCCCCAAACTTTAAGAAGTGTTAGGTAGAAGCAAAGAAGTAACATGCGTTATTGATTGGCCACTTGCTATGGCTTCTGAATGCACAAGTATGCTTTGCTTGTAGAGTTGGCTGTCTCTGGCAATAAGGTTTGTTGTCATTGCCAAATTCAAAGAGAAATGCCTTTGCGTCTCCTTCCCCCTCCTCTCCCTCCGCCACTCGTGTGTGTGCAGCATATGGTTTAACAGACTGCACAGGAGGCTGGGAGCCAGGAAGCCTAGAAATATAACATTAGCTCTGCTGCAGCCTTCCTGTACGACCTCAGGATAGTGTCCCTGTCGTTAACTCTTTTGTAATACGAAGCTCTACTGGTATAAGCTTTGAATCAGACATTTCAGCCAGAGGTATAGAGATGGGAACCAACTGGAATGACTGGCACCGTTCTTAGTTTGGTGTCATTGCTAGTGCAATATGAATGGCATATTAAAGAATTGGGAATGAAGACTCTGCTTATTCTCTGCATCGCATTTACCTGTGGCTACCCACATTTATGACCATTTGGCCCAATTTCTCTGTTAATGATCTTTAAAACAGTAATAGAAGTGCATTTTCCATTTGCTTTCTAAATCTATGTTTCTTTCATTACATGTAAGTTTATTTACTTACATACAGTAAAAGTAGAAATTGAGAGACAGACAGACACACACACACACACACACACAGAGAGAGAGAGAGAGAGAGAGAGAGAGAGAGAGAGAGAGAGAGAGAGAGAGAGAGAGAGAGAAATACAGAGGTCCCCAACCTTTTGGGCACCAGGGATCGGTTACGTGGAGAGAGGTTTTTCCATGGACTGGAGAGTGCGTGGTTTTGTGTGCTGCCTGCATCCTGTGGATGGGGCTTTCCTTGTTTGTGCGGACCGGTTGCTGGCATGCCGTGACCCTGTACTGGCCCATGGACCAGGGGTTGGGGACCCCTGGCGTAATAGATGTGATATAAACATTAAAAAAGAAGACTGGAAAGAACAAAATTTGGTAGAGAAAATTTTTGCCATATGTATCATTTTGGGGGGAAGAGCAGTTTTTAATTTAAGATTTGCAAAAATTCACTTCCTTACTTCTTTTTTCATAGCATGGTAGCTACACTCAGAGTCATTGGCTGGTGGGCAGCCTTAGATATTGAAGTACATGAATACATGTGTTTCTCTCAGGGAATTACAAGGGACACATCCCACTTTACAGCTGAATTGTAATGCTGGAGGAGTAAGCCTCTATCACAGTGTTTCTCAACCTTGACAATTTTAAGGCATGTGGACTTCAACTCCCAGAATTCCACAGCCAGCATTGCTGGCTGTGGAATTCTGGGAATTGAAGTCCACATGCCTTAAAATGATCAAGGTTGAGAAACACTGCTCTATCAGATGAAGCAAGATGCTATCTAATTCTGATCAAATATTCCAACTGTTTCATCCTGAGACGTCTGCATTTTACAGAATTAGGACTTTTCTCTGAGCAGCGTTCTCTCCTGCCCAGAAAAATCTAAAAAAAATCCTGCAATTTTACCTTTTCAAAGTTCTACCAGGCAATTGGATGTTTATGTTTAACAAAATGGAAAAGTGGTCACCAAAAAAACAACAACCCCAACTTCTTTTTTTTTTCCCTTCACCAAGAACTATTTCGGGCTCCGAGGCTGCTTGCTTGTGCTATTTTTCCTCCTTGTGCTCATCTTGGAAATAGAGAGATACATGTAAAGGCATTTGGACTAAATACTCTTCTTCAGTTTGCCCTGAGGGCAGCGTTCTGTGATTACAAGTGTGGTGAAGAATCCCTGAAGCATAAGGAAATGTTTATCAGACAAAGGTTTCTGCTCCCAAATACCTTGATCTTGACCTGGCCTTCAGGGTGGACATTTCAGCTTTAAAATAAAATCTGTGCACAGCAAGGTGCACTGCTTGTTATGCATCTTGGCGTCTTGATTGGCAGAGAAGGTTTGACTTGCACATCTGATGGGTTTGAGAGTCTCTTTTGCTTCTGTGTCTGGGAAGCCAAAATGTCTGGGGGCCTGTTTATACAAAGCTGGGGTGGTGAGGGACTTCTGATCTTCTGTCTCTTTGAACCACCATCTTTTTAAAAAAAAACTCAAGAGTTTCCTCGTTAGATCGGACCAAAAGCTCTTTTAATCCAGCCCCCTGTCTCCCAACAATATCCAGGCAAATGCCACGGGGAAGTTCACAAGGAGAATATGGTGGCAACAATAATTTTACGATTTGTTCTTTGGGATTAGGCAAGTCAGAAGTCCTTTGCCAGGAAAGTTTTATTTTCACTCTGTATTGCATACCCAGAATTTCACAGAATACTTTCATATTACTCGTCCAGCCTCAGAACAAATGAACAAGTAGAATCAAGAAGATTCATGAACATTCACATTTTACTTTAAAAAAAAAAGAAGTGAGGTAGGCACTAAAGAGCTAAAGAAGAGGGGCCCATTCTCCCAGTTCCCCATTCTCTGAAATGGTTCTCCTTATTAAAAATCAACTCTGCATCCATCAAAATGGTGGGGACGGTTTTAATCAAGAAAAAACAGGAATTAAAAAAACAACCTTCTCTTAAATCAGGGGACAATGCTTGCTATTAATATTTTTTAAAATGCAGGATATCTGATTTGGTTCATAGGCTTTAAAAAGGAATTTCTCATCAGCACCTTCCCCACGTGCATAGCTGCCTGGGTACGGGCTGTGTTTCAGGATTAGTATGTAGTTTGTTCTATAATTCTGGGCTTGCGGCAGAAAGATACAAGGTTTTGTCCTTTTTTATTTTTCCTGAAGCCCTAGTAGGATTGTTAAGAACAACCCAGCTGGGACTTCCGGTGGCAGGCGATTTCGCTGGTCGCAGCTGTTTGCTGCCTCCCGCCTGTTTTGCGTAAAAGCCGGTTTGACAGCCAGCATCTGCTGTCAAACGGCTTGATACCTTTCCCCTGGGCATAAGGGGATCGGTGAGCTGCCCGGGGTAGGAGTTGAGTTCCCGAGTCGTCCTATACGGACGATGTAGGCGAGAA